AGAAAAAGATAAAAATAAATAAAGAGGGGAAAATTTGGTCTTAGAATTCGATTTGGGCTCTTGAAATTGCTGAGCCTAAGTTTATTTTCTCCACAAAAAAATGCCCAGCCCTGTTAATACTAAAATTTACGCCCCTACCCAGCCCAAACCCGACCTGGCCCATCACCCACCCACATAAAACCCCAATTATAACCCAAAGAAAACCTAACCCTAACTTATGAAGAACCCAAACGGCGCTGCCCTTTCCCCACCCGATCTCTGCCGCGATTCAACCCACCAAAGTCGCTAAACTCAGGCAAGTTCACTCGCACACGCCCCTCATCTCACCATGTCATCAAGATTCTAACGGCCTCTATCAGATTTTCCTCTACCATGTGCGTTCTTGAGAATGAATTCCGAAAAATGGGGGCCGTGGATTGGTTTTGAATCGATCCTCTCCCTCAATCTGTCCGGATTCGTTCTATAAAGAATATTATCGGATTTTTCTTGAGGAAAGGAATAGAAAATTCGAGGGAGAGGTATATATACCTAGGTTTTGGTTCAGAAAGGGGGATTTGGATTTTTTTAGAGGATTTTAACAGAAAATAGGAGAAAAGAACTAGGTTTTTCTTGGTTTTCCTTTACGATTCTATTTTCGTCTTTATTTTTGTTTCCAGTTCTTCATAGATAAAAAATACGAAGGAGAATGAGCTCCTTCTGTTCCTTCCGTTGCTAAAACAAAAACAAACAAAAAAAAACCTCTATTTCTCCATTTTTAGTTTTTTTTTCTGTATTTCATTTGAATTAATGGAAGTCGACTGAGTTTTTGTTTGGTTTCGAGCTTTTCTGGCGTTGTTCGTCTCTTGCTGCTGGTTCGTAGATTTCGTTGCAGTCTTTGTTCGGACTCGTTTTCTCTGTGAATCGCTGTAATCGTTAAAATAGCATTAATCGAAAGCTGCAATTTCAGGTTCAATCTCTTTCTCCTATGAACCTCTGATTTAAGGTGTTGATGAACAATGGGGATTTGTTGTTCTAGAATGGTATTTTCTTTGATCAAACTTCATGTGGAAGTCGAACTTGGAATTATCATTTTGTCTCGATTCGTGTTTAAAGGTGATACTTGATATGTTGTTTATCGCTGATGAATCTTTTCACTCTGTTCGACATGTTTGGGTACTTTCCAGTTAGTAAGAACTGATTTGAGTGGTCATTTTTTGTGTGTCATACGCTTTAACTGTTATTATGACGTCGAAGTATCGTTTGTGTCAAGATTTCGTCGTTGCATATGAACGATGCGTTCAGCTTTGTGATTGTTAAACGAGCATGAACCTATGACGTTTATTTTCATGATGCTCGCTTTCCGGATTATAACTAACTTGTTCTTGTGAGATCTTCCTCATTTGTTAGAAACTTTTAAACTAGAATCACCATCTTCACTTGAACAGTTAGTTTCAAAAGTTTTGGTGATCAAAGACTTCCTAGTTATGCTGTTAAGGAATAACCACTTCACAAGATGAGTTTTCTTTTGTGTTTTCTGCTGTCTATGACATGTTTTGATGTTCAAAGTAGTCTGCTCGTTCCAATTACTTAGTCTCGACATGTTCGACTTGAATTGGTTAGTTGCATGACTGGTAAACGAGTCATGAATCACTAAAGAACCCTTTTTTCTGATTTCATGACCATTTTCACGTGTTTTGCTGGTCTGAAGTTGATGAAGTTCTTCCTGATAGTATTTGCTCCTTGTGGATTACCATGTTTGAGATGATCAGTGGGTACTCATGTTTCCAGCAGTCATTTTGTCACTGGATTTCTTAAAATAGAAGTTAATATGAAGCTTGTGCAGTAGTATTGCCTTGTTCTTTCAAATCAGTTGTATTTGCTAATCGAGTTTGTTTAAGTTTGGTTGGAAAAAATGTTCAAGAATCTCCTTCCCTTTCTCCTAAATGGTTTAAGCGTCATATGCCACACTTGATCCTTCATGTCACAATATCCACATTCATAGTAAAATCATGTTGAATATGTTGGGTTATGTGAGATTTTGGAGTTTTCTGGCATCACGTGAGCTATGTGCCTTTTGTCCATTCTGGTAAACACTGCATTAGGTACAAGGTCACGTTAAGTTTTGTGGAATCGCCATGCACCAGTTTTTCCTGTTTAACACCTTCGTGTGCTTGAGTGCCATTTCAATTGTCCTGATCTGCTAATTCAGGTTTCCCTAATGTCCTAGAATTTTGTACTTGACTAAGAATGAACTTAGGAGTTTGACATGGATCGAGTCAAAGAATACTTAAACAACTCCTTCTGATGGCTCTGACTTATATTTTTGCTTTGTTGTTATTAGATCTGATCCTTAACTTGTTCAGATGTGTGCCTGTTAGGAATTTGTTATACTGATTGTTTAGTTGGATATTTGGATTGTCTTGAACGATGTTGTGTCGTGAGAGTAGAGAATGACTAAAGCTCATTAGCGATTAATCTGTTCACATCCTTTAGGAATTGGGCTTGGCCAAATATATGAAATTAGAAGCTTAAGAGGGAATGAGCTTGAAACTTAGTAAAAGTATTCCATAATCTCGGGCCCTTTTGCTCACAATCACTGAATTAGGAATTACACATATTATGAATATTCGTTGTTTGCTTTAGGCGAGTTTATAATAAAATTATCATAGCTACGGGTACGGTTCCCGTGACGTAGTTGTGATACGTAATTTCCAAATCCGAGGGTACATTTCTGTGACCCCGCCACAACTTCTAATAGTTTTAATAAATTAAACATGTTGTAGATCGTGGGTACGGTTTCCGTGACACGATTCGCAATGTGTACCAAACAAACAAGTGTACGACAATCGTAACTTGTTCCAAAATAACTCCGTAAATAAATAAAAGCGGTAAAAGGGTAAAAATGCACAATAGGTATAAAATATATAATTAATCACATAATTAGGCCAATAATAATAGTTTGAGCAACCGTGCTAAAACCACAGAATCCGGGAATGCCTAACACCTTCTTCTGGGTTAACAGAATTCCTTACCCGGATTTCTGTGTTTCGCGAACTGTAAAACACAGTCAAAGTTCCTCAATTCCGGATTTTAAACTGGTGACTTGGGACACCATAAATTATCCCAAGTGGCGACTCTGAATTTGAATAAATAATCCTGTTTCTGTTTTGTCACTTTATTTGGAAAAACTCCCATATACCCCTTTCGGGGTAGAAAAAGGAGGTGTGACAGGCATGATAGATGTGGTGTGTTGTGTGGGATTGAGATTTGCATGTGGAAGGTCACGGTTGAGTTTTGAGGGGGAGGTTATGAATTCTTAGACAGCATGGATGGTTTCCGATACTTAGTATTGCCTAAGAAGGGTGCACATCTTAGAAGGCGCACTGAGTTTTGACTTACAGATGCTTCATTGGTATTCTGGTACTCGCCTGGTTGATCGACTGATGATATTCAGATTTTGGCTATGTGGAACGAAAGAACTATGGAAGTATTCCTCGTGGGATGATCGTGTGTGAGAGATGTGTTAGACATTCGAGTGGCGGAGTTGGGATCAGATATGGTGATTCATGTGTTCTATGGATTTAGAGACTGGGAGTTCTCAAAAGCAGATTGTTTCGTGGTCGTGGACTGTGAAGTTGTAGCCGAACCTAGCCAAATGATAGTACGTTTTATGATTCAGTCATTGTGGACTTTCTGAGGGTTATTTACCTATTGTGGGTGGCCAGAGTTGATTTTGGGTCCATTGATAGGCCGATAAGGATGTGTATTCTACACCGGGTCAGATCGGTTGACTTCGTATTGCTATTGTTGAGGGATTTGCCATTCGGTTGGAGTTGAGCTTATGCGTGTTCTGATATGATCTATGAGTTACCCTTCCATTCTACGAGAGATTGTGATTCGTTGGTTATATGCATACATGGTGCGGTTCTATTGGGGCCTTATAGCGGAATTTAAGCGAGATGGGTATTGGGGTGTTGCATGATTGATTGCGCATTGGTTATGTTCTTTTGGGTTTGTGTGGCATTCTGTCATTTTCTTCTCCATGGTTATGGTCATGCACCTTGGGTACTTGATTTTGAATTGCGCATGGTTATTGAATTTGAGTTGGGTGTCTTGAGGTATTTCATGTGGATTAGTGTTTGGATAGGGTCACGCATTGCAGCAGAGTTATGTTGAGATATGATCCTTTGTGTTAGATTTGTGTGTTATGGTTCTACGGTGTGTGATGAGTTATAAGCATTGTGTTGTGGCGGTACTTGTTGAGCTTGCGGGGCAGTTCTCTCGTTTGAGTCATTTCCCATGTTTGAGTACATTTGAATTGTTGCTCATTGGTGCCCGGATTGCACTGTTGTGACCTTAGGTTGTATCGGAAATATATATTGCTTTTCTTCTTTAGAAGTTTTTATTCTGAAATTCCAAAAAAAAAAAAATCCAAAAAAAAAAATCGAAATCCAAAAATATTTTCTCTTCTTTATAAGTCTTTCTTTTAGAAATTAAAAAGAAAAAGGATTAAAAAAAATCGTCAAAATCAAAAAAAAAAGGAGAGTTAGTTTATTTACTTTATTCCCGATCTTCCTGAACTACGTAATGATCTGATTCATACGGCGTCATGACACGTAGGCAATCCCTCAATCATAACCATAAATGAAAAGAGAGGAAAGAAAGAGTGGAAAAACAAGAGAACAAAAGAGAGTGCAAAAATAAAAGAGGAGCGGCAAGAACCAGTGGGAAAATCCATAATTACTAATGAAAGGCAGGACTGAAAAAGAAAAGAAATGAGAGAAGAGAAAGTGCAAAGTGAAAAGAGTTAGTTAAGGCCGGGATGAAGCATGCAACCATTCAAATACATAATAGAAGCAGTTAACTATTCAGGTGCATTCCATCCCAAACGTATGGTTGCCTTCTGTTAAACTCTTAAACACTAACAAGTTTGCTGTTGTATTGAATTCAAAAAGGTTGTTAGTTTGTTTGGCATTCTGGCAAGTCACCCGTATAACATCAGGTCTAAACACAAAGCGATCATGGCTGGCAAAGAATTGGACGCAAGTGTCATCGACCCGCCGAAAGAGGTGGAGGAATCTGATCTGGTTTGAAAGAAGAGGTACATAAGCTTAAGCACCAAATGGCCGAAATGTACCGGGCATGGATGAAAGGGCATCCTCCACCGTCATACCCCGCTAACCCTGCTTTCATCCCACCGCTAGCTCAATCTCAAGAGCCCTCATTTGTTGATCTATCCCCATAACACGCACCAAGCTTCACCCCTTACCACCACTATTCTGGAACCTCTTCCTAAACCATCCAAGCTCCACCAGCCAAAGCAACCACCCTGCTCCGCCGGCTACCCCTGTCTTCGTAGCACCTCCGCCAGCTACACTCCATCGATCTTCCAGTGAGCCGGCATTCCAAGCCCAAGATAACCAATAATATGCCCGAGAGCCCACCTTCAAAGCCCTAGATCACTACTCCTACACTCCCTACTTCGAACTTCCTGTCGAAACCGAGAAGCCAACCAAAAACACGGTGCAAGAGGAGATATTTAGAAAGGTAAAGAGTTTGGAGCAGTCGAGAAATATGCAAGGGTTAGGTGGCCAAGTGAGTGTGGAATACAAAAGATCTATCTTTGTTTCCTGATGTCTAGCTACATGCCGGTTCAAAATGCCCAAGTTTGACTTGTACGATGGGCATGGAGACCCCGTGGCCCACTTAAGAGGATTTTGCAGCAAAATGAGGGGTGCTGGTGGGAAAGATGAATTGTTGATGGCATATTTTAGTCAAAGTTTGAGTGGTGCAGCACTAGAGTGGTACAACCGCTAGGACAACAGCAGGTGGTACACCTGGGATGATTTGGCCCGGGCTCTCGCTCGGCATTTCCAATACAACGTAGAGATTGTCCCAGATCGCCTATCCTTGACTAGGATAGAGAAAAAGCCCAGTGAGAGCTTCAGGGAGTATGGTTTCCGGTGGAGAGAACAGGCGGCACGAGTCAAACCTCCAATGGAGGAAGCTGAAATGATGGAGTACTTTCCTCAGGCCTTGGAGCCTATTTACTTTGGTCATCTGATCTCGGCCATAGATAAGTCTCTCAATGAAGTGGTGAAGATGGGAGGAATGGTAGAGGAAGGACTCAAATCAAGCAAGATCATGAGTTACTCTGCCATCAAAGCAACTACACAAGCAATCCAGAATGGCACCGGGTGTGTGTTACGGAAAAAGAAGAAAGAAGATGTTGCTATGGTCGCCTCAGGATCATGGCATGGCCCAAGGGGTTCATCACACCATTACAACCAGCCTCGACCCCAACCTCAAACCTACACTCAAACCCCATATAGTCCACCTCAACACTACCCACCAAAAAACCCTCAATATTCAGTCAGACTACCCCAATACCACGTCCACCACGCAGTCATATGCTCAACACCCTCCTTACCCGCAATAGCGTGCACCAGCTCCACAAACATACCGAAACCCTACTGGTCCAAGCTTTTGACCCAGGCCGGAGTATAGAAATAAAAGGATGCACCGGAAGAAAACTTTCACCCCGCTTGGAGAGTCTTATACTAGTTTGTTTCAGAGGTTGAGGCAGTTGGATGTTCTGAGGCCGATTGAGTCAAAATTACAAAATCCCTCTCCGAAAAACCTGGATTATTCCCTCATATGTGCATATTGTTCTGATGCTCTGGGGCACGACACAAAAAAGTGTTGGCATTTAAAGAACGCCATCCAGGAGCTTATCGATACAAATCAAATTGTTGTCCAGAGCCCGAAAACTCCAAACATCAATCAGAATCCCTTGCCAGCCCATGCCGAAATGCACATGATTGAGATAGTGTATAAGGATGGAGAGCCCGAGAAGCCTTTAAAGTCTGTCATGATGATACGTTCCAGTGACAGTAATTTAGTCAAAACTCTAGTTGTTACAAATGCAACATCCTCGATAGCTGAAGGGCTGAAGGACAAACTAAGCCCGCCCAATGTTAAGCCACCTGTATTAGTTTTGAAAGGGTTCCAGATGATGTTGAACAAAGCAAGGAAAGCCGAAAGTGGTGGTGCCGGGTGCAGCAAGTAAGCCTGTCATAATCGTTGAAGGGGCTCGCACCGACCCCATTATTATTAAACCTGTGGCCCAGCTGCCGATAAATAACACCAAGGCTGTTCCATGGAATTACAAGCAAGTGATAGTAACTTATAAAGGGAAGGAAGTGGAAGAGGAAGTTAATGAAACCCGGGGGTTGACCCGTTCAGGGAGATGCTTTAGCCTAGAGGAATTAAGGAAAGCTAAGCCACCCAAAGAAAATCCAATTCTAGTGAAGAAGCCAGTCACCAAAGAGGAGGCAGAAGAGTTTTTGAGGAAAATGAAGGTGCAGGATTACTCAATCGTAGAACAGTTGAGGAAGACGCCCGCTCAGATTTCTCTTCTATCATTGTTGATGCATTCGGACGAGCACCACCGGGCCCTCAGGAAAATTCTAAATGAAGCTCATGTCCCTGACAAGATCACAGTAAACCATTTGGAGAAGATTGCCAACAAGATATTCGAGAAAAACAGAATCACCTTCTCGGATGATGAGTTGCCTTTGGAGGGTACGGAGCGCAATCGGGCTCTCTATCTCACAGTGAAATGCGAACATTCTGTTGTCACAAGGGTGCTAGTTGACAATGGTTCCAGCACAAACATCTGTCCTCTCTCCACTCTGCACAAGTTCAACATTGATACTGAAAGGATCCACATGACAGTACATGTGTCCGAGGTTTCGACGGAGGGGGAAAATATTCCGTTGGCGATATCGTGCTCGAACTGACGATAGGACCAGTTGAATTTACCATGGAGTTACAGGTGCTTGATGTGGTCGTCTCCTATAATTTGCTGTTGGGCAGGCCCTGGATACATGTTGCCAAAGCAGTCCCTTCTTCCCTGCACCAGATGGTAAAGTTCGAGTGGGACAGACAGGAGATCGTCATGCATGGTGATGAGAACTTGTGTTCTTACAAAGATACCTCTATCCCGTTTATTGAAGACGAAGACGATAAGGGGCCCTGGGTCTACCAAGTTTCCGAAACAGTGCCAGTTGAGAAGATTGGCAGTTTATTCCAAGTGCAAAGTTAGCCTCCGCATCCGTCATGGTGGCATCTGAAATGCTGAAGAATGGTTTTGTGCCAGACAAAGGTCTAGGCGCATCTTTACAAGGTATCGTGCAGCCAGTGTCTCTACCTGAAAATCTGGGTACGTTTGGTCTAGGATTCAAGCCCACAGGGGACTATGTGAAAAGGGCTAAAAGGTTGAAAAAGGAGGCATAGTCAATCCCTAATCCTATCCCACGCCTCTCCAGGACCTTCGTCAAGCCAGGGGTCGTGAAGCGCCCAGTGTCAGCAGTCCCAAAGCCTGTGGTCGACTTTGCTGAAAAGCTGATTGAAAAGTTCCATAGTCTATTTGATGAGGTGAACATGGTGGAAATTGGGGAGTGTATACGGCGAAATCTGGGGGGGTCCAATTTCTCGTCATTAAGGCACTTCGGAAGATCACCTCGAAGGCTCAAGGCCATGGTCGAGCATCCTTCCTCGGGGGTCGTCGACACTCGACCCCATGGTAGCATTGATCACGATAGTGGTAGAAATGGGAAGTTCCCAAGGCACACGCCTAGGGCTGATAGAGTCTGCTGGTCTACTCTGGATCCAAGCCAGGGTGTCCTCTTGCTGTCCCATCCCCCTATCTTTGTAATTAATGCCTCTTGTACTTCGTTAGGATTCCCCTCCTATATAAAGGGGATCCTTTTCATTTTTGTAGATCTCTGTTGCTTCAGTAGCTCCATATGAATATACAAAGAACATTCTCTCTGCTTTCTAACATACTTTCTTGTTATTATTGCTTTCATTTGTTATCTTCATACTTGTTCATCATATATTGCTTATCATTGGCCATAAAGAGCCTTCATTAATTTTATTATAGCTGTTAGTTACACCCCGATCGCCCTAGATAGCTCATTATCCGGCCACGGAACCGACCTTGAGGCCTCTGTATCGACAAGCTCGAGGCCCCGACTGTCAGCCTCTCAGTATGATTATCGCCTTATCTTTAGCTCCCATTTCGTCTCCGAACTTCATACACATAGCATCATTCCCTTAACAACTAGCATAAAAATAAATCACACATTTTTAGAGTCTCATCAACAAAATTAATTGTTGTTACCATTTTCACGGTAAACAGTTTGGCGCCCACCATGGGGGTAAAAATAATAGTGATTATTTTCTTGCTGGTTTCATTACACAACGCAAGTTATCTTTCACGCTTTTCTTGTCCAAAGATCTTTGATTTCAGGTTGTAATGTCTGATTCAGTGAACAACAATATTGAGAACCACGGAGAGAATGGTGTGGCTATTCCAGGTGTTGGTGAACCACCACAAAACCTTGAGAACGCACCAGGACCGATTCCGGTGGACGAAGTCTCATGCGACACTCGACACGTTGAAATAAGCTCCCACACTAACAGGAGCATACACCAAGGCGACTAACAAGAAGCCCAACAAAACCCCAGCTCGGGAAGAACGGGAAGTTAGCCTTCATGTTATTTTTGAAATATTTCAGGCACAACAGCTGGCTATTGCTCAGCTGCAAAGTCACCAGAAAACTCCTAGCACGGTAGGATCGAGGACAGCACCCCCGGCCGAACAGGTACCGGATGTTTCACCAAAGAAATAATATTTTGGATAAAGCTAGAATTTGAGACGAAAAATCGGGTTACTGATAATCAAGAGAACAAAAAATAATAATAGGCTTTCTGAGAATAATAATAAAGCAGTAAACAAGTTTTTATTTCAGTATGATGTCAATGATGACCTTTTCCCAATACAACTTCCTCCTTTTATAGTTGATTCTAGGTAAAGGAATGAAACCTAAGCTTTAATGAGACAATTATGGACAATAAATGACATTAAATGAGCCGTTACACAATCATTCCTATTAAATACCAATTTTCTAACGTATCAGGTATTTAATACTGAATTTGGACTCTTTTTTGTCTTCAGATCCATGTCTTCAATGCCTTTCGACCCACTGGCTTTAAATGACTTGAATTGGTACGAGACTCGTGTCTAAACTGCTTCTCGTGCCTGTTTCACTTCCTCTTCTCGTACCTGTCATCTCCCGTACCTTTTTCCCAATTATTACGCTTTGACCATTTGTCCAGTCCACGTGTCACGCCACGTCATCTTCAATATAAATTCAACTTTTTTCCCAATACAGATAGTCCCCCCACTTTCCATTTATTTATCAATTAAATAATTGGGAAGTGGATCTTCATAAAAAAGAAATTTTTGCCATAATCAATGCGTATGACAATATTGACGTCTCAATTGTCTTTTCCATTTAATGTTCTGTCCATGTGTCACCTTTTGATTGATTCTGCTATTTTGCACCCTTTTTCAAGGCTTCGTTACTCCCACTATTCACGAAGTGATAGTTGCCTTTATTATAGGCTTTCCATCATTACTCTTCTAAGTTTGACGGTTGCCATCATATACATACTTAACCTTTTCTTCCTTTGTCTTCTTCTCCATAAATCTTTAGCAAACGTTTTTCTTCCTTACTTTTGCTCTCCTTCGATTCATCTTTGCTCAACAATGGCGTCTCCAAACCCTAACCCTAAATGAGTTCCAATTTTAGACAAATTCCCCAATGCTCCTGTTAGACATAGAAGAGACAGAGGAGGCAGACTTCTTACAGGGTTAGAATCTACTCGAGACGGCTCTTCTAGTTCTTCTTCTAGGAGTTCTATTCTGAAAACTCCTTCTTCTAAAGGTAAAGAAATTCCTGATTCTTCTCGAGAACCTTTAGTTGATGAAATCGTACCAAATGATTTATCTTTTGTATGTGATAGACAATCTCTTCAAAACCAAGTTGTTGGTTTAGAAAAAACTGATACTTATCCTACATTAGTGACCGAACTTACAATCCCTACCATCAGAGGAGATTGTACCTGGAAAAATAGTCTTCGAATGTCAATTCCTTCCATAAATCAAAGAATTTCTTCTTTTAGGATTGGGTACTCTTTTGTTTATACTTACCCTTTTACTTTGGGTTTTAATCCCCCAATTGACCCAATCATCCTCGATTTTTGCCGTTTCTTTAATATTTGTTTGGCCCAAGTTGGTCCTTTAGTATGGAGAGCAGTGGCTTGTTTGAGATATCGTTCTACCAAAGCCACTGTTGATTTCACCTTTTCTCACCTTATCCATTTATACCATCCTAATTTCATACGTCATGGAGTTTTTACCTTAACTGCGAGAAGCAAGAAGGTTTTTGTAAGCACAGAAGATGACAATGATCGTGGATGGTATGCCCGTTACGTTGTTGTGCGTACGGTGGATTTACTTGGTGAAACAAATATTCCCTTCCCTGAGAAGTGGAATTTTGCACGTAATTTTTTTTTTAAACCGTACCTGTTTTTGAGAATTTCGATTCTTTTTCTGACTTCGTCTCTTTTTGGTTTTTTGTAGCAACCATGGGAGATGTGGAACCTGTTCCCAACTTTTGTGGTTGGGTAGATTCAATTTTGAAGATTGCTCCTAAGGAGCAAAGAACTTGGAAATCAATTTCTGCTTTACATGGCTGGAAAGTTAAAACGCATGGTATCGCCTTTTTTACACGCTTTTCTTTTTGCACATTAAGTATTTTTTCCTTAATGTTGATTGCGTATCCTTCTTTTAATCAGAATTTGGTAACAAAGGAATGACAGCTGATGTTGTTACGGCCATCCGCATGTCTGGTAATGCTGCACTTGACTTGGACAAGGCTCGAACCTTGCTTCAAAAAAGGAAAGCTATAGGAGAAGGTTCCAAGAATGAGGAAGAGGAAGGTACCTTGTTAATAGCCAGACCACGAATTAGGAGACGAGTCATTAATGATGATGAAATTGAAGATACTCCTGCTCAAACTTCGACCACCGAGCCTGTTTTGATTCCTTCAGACGAGGACACCGTGCCAAGAGACACGAATGAATCAACTCAGCATCTCTTTAATAGTGGTTTTGAGAGTAGCGAACTCGGACCTGTTTTTTATGAAGTTCCTCTTTCTTCATTCGCACCTACTTCCTCCATTCCTTTGCCAACTGTAAGTGTTTCCTTGTCAGCATTGACTACTTCTGTTCTTTCACCAGTTTTGACTGCTCCTACATCCATTCCTATGTCTACTTCTACCGTTCCTACTTCAACTCCCACGACTCCTGTGGTGTTTACCTTTTCTACTACTCCCCCTTCCGCTGTTCCATCTTCATCTGTCCCACATGTAGAAGTAAGTTCTAGCAATAGAAGCATGACTATGAGAAGTGTCACACTCGAAATCCCTGCTAATCAAAGCCTCTTAAGAAAATCTGGGAGAGCTGATACTTGGCTCGAACCTCTTATTGGAGAAATCGAAAAAAATAAGATGCAAAGCCATAGTTGTTACACTTTGATGAATGACATAGTTCATTCAACTTTGAAGGTAATTTTCTTAACCTTAAATGCTTTCCTTCTTTTTCTTTCTAAGTTCTCACTTATATGCTTTATAACCATAGACTAATCTTATTGGGACTGAGCTGATGGGACGAATCTCTACATTGGAGAAAAAGGAGCGAGAGTCTACAAAGGCTCTATCTGAAGCTAAGAAAATAGCTGAGGATGCCTTATTTGAGGCAGCAAACTGGAAAGAACAATTTGAAAGTGCCCAAGTGACTGTAGAGGAGTTGCAGGAGAGCAAGGCTCACTTGGAGCAACAAAATCGTGGCTTAACTTCTGAGTTGGGAATTGTGAATGCTTCTTGGGGTC